TCCAACTGTTTCTACACTTCCTCCTTAATCTTTAAAGACCATTCGGGTTTCACTCTTCTGTGTTTTTTTTTATCGGTCGGAATCCCTCTTTCAACGGCAACCTGTGCTCCACAATGCTCGTATCAAGTCCTGGCATGTCATGGTAAGACCATGCGAATACGTCCACATACTTTATTAATAGTTGTACTAATCCTTCCCTGACGTTATCATCGATTTGGGTACCAATACTTATTTCCTTCTTATGATCTCCTTGCCCCAAATCAATGGCATCGGTTTCTTCCTGGTAAGGCTGTATAGATTGAGCTTCCCTTTCTAGCAGTCTTTGCATGTCCCGGGAGATGGTCCCCTCCTTACTGTCTAACCCGATCCATTCGCCTTCGGCTTTCGGATCCCACAAAGAGTCCTCAATCACAGGCATGATTATTTTTATGGTTTTATTTAGGTTTAGATTTTATTATCAATAGTAAGAATAATAAGGGAGAAAAGAATGGAAAAGAATATGAATGCCATGAAAATGCCTCATTGTATTGATAAAAATGAAATATTTACGAAGCCCTTTTAATCAAAGATCCCGCGCCCACGGGCAGGGACCGCGAGAGATACACCGAAAGCTTAAAAACATATGAATACTAACATAAAGAGCCTTAATCAGCTGATCTTCTCTCTCCAATCCCATTATTTCGGTTGCAAAAGAGGCATGGTGTCCACAATAGGAGTGGGAGCGTCGAAAGTGATCCACCCGACATTCAACAACTCTTGAACCTTATACTTCAATGTCAAACAATTCTCCACATAATGCCTAGGAGCGCCCGAGTGGTAATCACATTTTTCGGTTTGCTTGTACCAATCAGGGTAGGGTGGATCCATCTTTCTCGGAGGGACACATGCTAGGAGCTTGGCCTCTATCACCTTTGGCAGCAAACTCCCATAGGAGGTTGGAAGGGGAGTAAATTTCCTCTCTTGATTACGTGACTATCTAACTGGTCGCGAAGAGGAAGAAGGAGTAGCAAGGTTGATGACATTTACACTTCCCTCCTTCTTCTTGCCAAAGAACTTCTTGAATGATGCATTGGATGAGAAAGGTTGTGCAATCCTCCCACTTTTTAGTCATTGCTCCACTCGTTCACCGATGGTCACCACATCCGCAAAAAGGGTCAACGTGTTCCCTATCATCTTATCATAATAATGACCCGTCAACCAATTGATGAACATGGATACGATTTCCTTATCCGACAGCGGGGGCTCCATTTGGCCGGCCAACTCCCTCCAACGCTGAGCATATGCCTTGAAGGATTCGTCGTTTCTCTTGCTCAAAGCTTATAAATCTGACCTATCTGGAGTTAGGTCAATGTTGTATTTATAACGACGAAGGAAGGTGTCTGCCAGCTGTCTCCATGTTTGGACTTTTCCCCCTTCTAATTGCATATACAAGCTCAAGGTCGAGTCGGCTAAGCTCTCCTGAAAGCAGTGGATCAAGCGTTTCTCATTATTGACATATGCAGCCATCTTACGGTAATACATTGTAAGATGGCTCTTGGGACAAGTCATTCCCATGTACTTGGGAAAATCTGGAAACTTGAACTTGGGAGGGAATTAAATATTTTTGACGAGGCACATGTCGTTCGCCTCCTTCACATTAAAGTTGTATCCCTCCATAGCCCTTAATCTCTCCTCTAGGGCAGAAATTTGTTGCTTGGAGACCTTGGGAGGCTGAATGCGTACTGCCCTCATGTTGGACTACACATGAGCTCCATGTTCATGCTCATGGGCGGGTTCCTCCTCTTCCTCATGATGAGAGGCATGGTCACTATGGGGGCCCTCATTGTGGAGGCATTGCTGGCGCGTTAGCTCCATTAACTATGCCATTTGATCCTTCATGGAATTAAGCTCAGCGGTGAGCTCACAATTTTGTTCTTCCAACTGCTCCATCCTCTTAGCTCTTTGTGCGCGGGTGAGGACAGGAAGAAGACCAACCATTTTCTAGAATGCAAATGAATTAAGGATTTTTATTTTTGTTTTTGAAATGAATGAATAGTATGGGATGGATATGCCTTAAGACAATAGCTTTGGTATCCTCCTTAAAGTTTATGCTTCATGGAGTACCACACCCACCTCGGTGTAATGGTTCCTTCCCCATCATGGATTGACAAGTATAACGAAGGTTACCACACCTTAGCACACTTGTCCCTTCCTTGTCATAGATTGACGAGTATGACGAAGGTTACAAATGCACTTGGGTCTCTTTTGCCTTTGTCTAAGGATATCTAGTGCCCCCTAGTATGAATGTGTTTATGCATGAGAGACTTATTAGGATGATGCGTATGCATACTTCCCTTATGCATTTATTTTCTCTCTTGGTTTTACCACTCTTGAAATGATGAGGGTATAAATGATTTGACCTGGTCAAAATCGTTTCATTATATTTTGTTATTATTGTTTTTTTAGGCTATTGTATGATCATTCTACGCTAATGCAACAAACATATGTTAAAACAATTCACTCATCCATAAACAAAATGAAGACGTTTAATCATGAGGTAGGGGTATCCTGCAGAAAAGTGCATAGTCAAGGTGGGTTCTAACTAGTCTCACTAAGGCCAGGTCCCCAGGGTGCCCCCATTATAGGGTCTCCGCGTCTCTCAGCCCTCAAACCTTCCGTGGCTCAAAGGCCGTGTCAACATCCTGCAGACTGAGAGAGGAGGGTTATCACCTTGAGTGGTGGTTTCTGACAATGACCTGCTGGCATTAGGGCCATTACTAGTCAGTCATACATGCCACCCACTCCCTAAGATTTATCACTCATGCCCCCAGGTATAGAGCGACTATTGTGTGCAATGGTTGTGTACAATTTATTTCAAACGAGTGCAGAAAATAACTATACAATAGTTATTAAAGTCATACAAATAAAACATGTTATAAATACAAAGAAGGGTAAAAATGTAATTTCAAATATTTTATTTTCTTTGAATTAATCCACCACTAAATGGGATCAACTCTCTAAGCTTTCCTATTGGAGTTGGCATTTGTCACCGCCATCCCCCTCGCGGCGGGGTGCAGGGAGCAAAATGGTGCAAGCGGTCGCGACACGATGGTTGAATCTCGCGTTTTCGTAAAGTAGTTTGGTCATCACTTTTAGGATGCTCAATAACCAAACTAACCTTAAAAGTGAGACTTTCACAAAAATGGGTTTTATGGAGTCGACACCAATGTTTTAACCATAAACATTGAAAAGGGATACAAAAGGTGTTGGTTTAAAAAAATCAACTTTGGCCATTATAACTAGAGTCGAGTAAGGGAGTTAGTTACGCGTGGGCAAGGTGTTAGCACCCCACAACGCCCCTTTCGGGTTCCCTATGATGGATTAATTCATAAAATAAAGATATTTTAGAAATTATGCTTTTACCCTTTTCATTTGTTTATTTGCAATATTTATCTAAATGTCTACATGACCCTAATTTCTAATGCACACAAGGAAAGCGATAAAAGATTAAGGGTTTGAGAAGAACCTCCGAAGCGATCTTTTATATACTTTTAAACTTGAGGACGCTTTTTGGCAATCCCCTCGCACTACACGAACACTCCTCCCTCGAACAAATAAAAATTTAAACTGCTGAGAGTCGGATGTCTCAAAGGAGACTTCCTTAACCGATTTTTTGCTTAAACAGACAATCAGAATGATCACTCGAAGTATGGAACAGTTCCCAGGGGTGAAGAGGTGAGTGAAACAGTGAGGTCTGACGTCCTATTTATAGGCACGTTCACCAAAGAGGTTGGGATGGCTGTCCCAAATTTGTCAAGTGCGTCGGTCGTCTTGATTTTCGGGACAACCGTCTCGAAAGAGAAAATGCCTCGGGACAGGCGTCCGGATTTTGGGATGGGCATCCCAAAATAGAAAAAGTCAGGACGGGCATCTCAAAATTGGGACAAGCATCTCGAGCCTGTGAATCAGGCGGGACGACCGTCTAGGATTCGAAACGGTCGTCCCAGACTTTTTGACAAATTTTTTTATTTTTTTATTTTTTATTTTTTATTATTTTTTCTTTTCTAAGAAAACTTTCATTTTCTTTCATGGAGTCTAGTAAACACTACTAGGGGCTCAATGAAGCCTTGTCCATCTTCAAAACGGAGGATTTCTGAATTTTGTTGTCAGGTGGGGCAAGATTTGGGATCTACATCTATTAAATAATTATTTTGTCTTTATTAATGTATGAATTGATTTAGGGTTAGTATTATGATGATTGATAGTGATATGAAAGATTTTTGAATGAATTTTTGTTAAGTCCAGGGATGTTCGATCCTTGACAAATTTATTGTTAATTTAATTATGTAGTTGGGTATATATTATAGAATTTATAAATGTCTAATACTGATGGGTCACCTCCTAAGTTGGAGCAAACGACCAAGAAGTCTAGAAGAGAATCTACGAGGTTGAGGTCCCTCTCACTTAGACGTGGTAGTGGTCAAATGACACCTCTTACTATTGACGTTCACACGGGTGTAGCCTCCGGACCTTGAGTCTTTTAGTAGCTACCTTGGGGTATTAGCTCGCGAAAGATTTTTATTTTAGTCCCATCTTAGGATCATGTTACTGGGGTTGAGAGAAACATTATTTGGCAATATATCTTGGTAAACAGTTTAATATATATTAATTATTTCTTTCTTTTATAATTTGCCTAATTTTATAGGCTTAACACCTTTGTCTTTGATTTACAGACACATTATGACATCCCTAATGTTTGGACATTCAGATTGAAGGTTCTTTCTTCCATGGCGACAAAATGACGTCAATTTTAGTCTAAAATGATGACTAATTATGTATTTGGTGCAATGAGTAATGAAAAACCTTGTACTGAATATACGACGATTGATGAAGAAACATGGACATAGTTTGTTTAGACGAGACAGAATGAAAAATGATAGGTAATCATATCTTTCTTTGTTTTCACATTTGTTTTCATTGATAATTAACTAATTCATAACATTATTTGTACTAGGTAATAGAGTCTTTGGAAGAAAGCACAGGATATTCAGGCACATAATGTGACCCCTCACTTATTGTCACGTGGGGGTTATCGAAAGCTTGAACAAACCATGATGATTGAGAAAGAGAAAACACGATATGTCTCTTCATCATATGCTTTAAGTCTTGACCCACCATCTCCACCTTCATGTCATGAGAAGTGGAAGCAGACTCGATGTCGCCGCCTCCCGAAAAGGGGCGGTCGGAGCGACGCGATGGTTTTGACCTTTTTTTCGATTTTTCGCGTTTTATGGGTAGTTACAACATCCTTAGGTTGTCCGATAACCGGGCTAACCTAGAGACGAGGTTTTCGAAAAGTGTTCTTGGGTTGTCCGATAACCGGGCTAACCCAAGAACGGGTTTTGAAGGGTTCGTGGAGTCGCCACCGATGTTTTTACCAGAAACATCGGAAAAGGTGTTAAAAAAAAGGGGTTGGTTTTCGAAAACCAACTTTGGTCATTAGAACCAGAGTTGGGTAAGGGAGTTAGTTACGTGTAAAGGAAGTATTAGTTCCTTTACGACGCCCCTTTCGGGTTCCCTATGATGGGCTGGCTACTTTGGATAAATAATTAAACTAGAAAATTGCGTTTTTACCCTTTTATTATGCGGTATTTAGAGATTATGACTACATGGCCCTAGTATCTATTGCATATATTTAAATGAAAGCGGTAAAATTAGAAGGAGAGAGAATGTACACCTCCAAAGCAAGCTTTTATATATTTCTCTTTAAAGAGTGGGTGCTTTTTCGCGCCTGACAGTGGCGAGACCGCCGTTCTCGTCTGACAGGATCGAGATCACCGTCTGGACAATCCAGACCACCGTCTCGACCATGGCAGGGGGTCGAGACCGTCGTCTGGAAAACCCAGACCGCCGTCTCGACTTTTGCAGTGGCGAGACCGCCGTCTGGACAAGCGAGACGGCGGTCTCGTCCCTGGCGTGAGGCGAGACGGCGGTCTGGTCCTTCCAGACGGCGGTCTTGTCCCTTCAGGGCGAAAAACCTTATTTTTCGGGCCAAAAAACCCTCCTATCTTGGTACGGGAGCCTAATAGTCTCTTCTAGTGGCTTGTTAGGCTTCGGCCGTCTTCAAATAGGAAGCTTTCTTACTTTATTCTGAGGCCGGGCAAGATTTGGGGTCTACAGCTGCCCCCCCTTTACCTGACTAGTCAGCTGTTGGCTTTGTTGTGCCAGACAGGTAGACAGGAAGGTAAAGGAGTTGACCCTCTCGCCCGGCTACCCTTCGGACGTCCCGTCTTGTGGCGGATGATCCTCTGGGGAGATGTAGTATTGTGCACCTCTGAGATACTACTTCTGACGTAGCCGATCCCTTCGGTTGACATGTGGTAGAACCTCCGGATACTACTCCTGACGTAGCCGATCCTTCGGTTGATGGGTATAAACCCCCTATCAGGCTAGTAGTTACAGTCCGCTGTGTGGGACCGGATGGGTATGAGCCCCCCATCAGGGTGGTACGGTCCGTTGTGTGGGACCGGATGGGTATGAGCCCCCCATCAGGGTGGTAGTGGCGGCTTACTGTTCAGGTGGCCCATGCGCCGTTTAGACACTCTTCGTGTGCTGGTTGATAGGTATAAACCCCCTATTAGGCTGGTACAGTCCGTTGCGTAGGACTGGTGGTAGTGGCGGCTTACTGCTCGGGTAGCTCATGCGCCGGTTCCTGGGGAGTGATCTCTGTGTTGGTAGATTGTTTTGGGATTTCTTGAATGTTCATCCGGGCCGTGCCGGGGATTTTGTGGGTTGTCCATCCAGCCTTGTTGGTGACTGGGGATTCTTTGTTTTTGCTCTTTTGGTGTTCGACTCTTGGTAGCCGATTTTTTTATTGGTTGGGGTGATGGCTTAATCCTGCCTTTTTCTCGCGGTTTTAACTCTTTTTTCTCGCGATTTTCGGATTTTGGCTTTTTACTCGAGCGCATGCCTTTTCTCTTTTAAGTTTTTTTTGTTACGCTGACTTTTTTGTAAAAGAAGGCAAAGAATGCATGGAATAAAATTTTATTCATGGAAATTTTTATTACAGCAGCTTTTATTTGGGTGAGTACAGTCCCTAGGGGCTATCATCAGGGGAATCGGAGTAAGGAAACCCCTTGTACATGTGATATCGGAAGTCTACTTGCTCTTGGACTTCGTCACGATAGTCCTCTTGGAAGGTCATCCATTCCTGCCGGATATTCTGCTGCTCCTGGTAGATCTCGTCCTGGCGAGCTTGGAAGGCCTGCTGGCGAGCGTCCTGGGTCTGCTGCCACTGGGTCTGCTGCTCTCGCCACACCGCCATTTGGGCGAACTGCTGGCTTATATCATTCAGGTGTTGGTGCATGCCAGCAAAGTCATCCGTGTACAGTGGTGGTTGTTGTTGCTGCTGCTGGGAGCCGGGAGACGTGGGCATATCCTGCATCGCCACTAGCCCCTGGATGTCCAGCTCGAAGTCCAGGGAGGGGTGCAGGGCGAACTGGTGTCCCCTACGTATCAGCATCCCCATGCTGACGAGCATTGGCCCATTGATGGGCTCGGGTCGTAGGTTGCGGGCCAGCTCTTCCCGGCCCGGGCACCCCATTCTCTCTGCCAGGGGGGTGATGAGGGGAGCTACGAGGATGGCCCCCGTGGATCTACTCCCGAAATCCTTAAGGGCTCTCAGGAGGAAATATCCAGGGTTGCAGCGCCGCCTCTGGTGCATGCAGTAGAGGACGAAGAGATCAAGGAGGGATATCTTACCTTGGCTCTCCTTCCTCCCGTGGACGGTGCCTGCCAGCAGCTTGTGGCAAATGCGGAGTGCCGGTTGTAGGGCGGAGCCTCTCATTAAAGTGGGCAGTGTGGTTGCTCCTGTGAGGTCACGCCACATGTCCGCGGAGGTGAGGTTGGCGGGCCGAGAGCAGATGGCTTCTCGGTATTCCCGGGTCAGCGCTTCTTCAGGCCGGATGAATCCAATGGCCACATTGAATTCTTCCAGAGTGGTGGTGTGGTATTGCCCGCCCATGAAATAATTGACCATTTTGGTGGGCTGCATGCCTGAGGCCATGGAGGGGATCTCAATGAGGGAGACAGAGGCCAAGAATTCTTGTACCGCTTGGGGGTACACATATGTGGGTGGGGGTTGTAGCAGAAAGCCCCACCCAATGCTGTCGATATGGGCCCTGACGTCTTCTTCCCATCCAAATTCGGCCAAAACGCCGAAGTCCAGTGTCAGCATGGAGTGCCACTGGTAGCTCCTGATGTTGTCCAGGCGGGCCTGGTGCTGTGGTGACAGCTGAGAAGGATCTGGGGGTGGCGGTGGCGCCAAGCTGCTAGCACCAGCGGTGCCCCTTCTCTTCCTGGAGGCACTTCTGCTAAACATCTTGAGCAGCGAAGGCTTGGAGGAGTAGAATGAGAGTTTTGGAGGCTCTGGAGGCTTAGGAGGCAAGGAGAGTTGTGAGGAAACCCATCCAGGCGCACCCCCTTATATAGGGAATTTTTCAATTCGAGACCGCCGTCTGGGAAGTCGAGACGGCGGTCTCGTTTGGGTTGTTGGTCGAGACGGCGGTCTCGAGGTTCTAGATGGCGGTCTCGACTTTACCTAAGTCGAGACGGCGGTCTGGTTTCTCGAGACGGCGGTCTCGATGTGCAGGGGGATCGAGATAGCGGTCTGGAATGTCTAGACGGCGGTCTCGAATTTCTGGTTTTTTTTTTTTTTTTTAATAGAAAATAGGACCTGGTTCAAAAACATTTTATGCATGCAAATGTTTTCATGTTTGATGTCCTATAATGCCTACTTTAATTAGTTTTTCAGAAGGATTTAACCGACGTGTCTTGTCGTGCTGAGAGCCTTCTGATTCGCCGCGCTTACTTTTGACTGTACCATGCCGGACCTCTTGTGACCGAAGGGTAATTTCTTTCTTTCTTTTTTCCTCTTTCTCTCTTTTTCGTTTTCTTTTGTAGAGCACTTTTTGTCATGTAGTGTCCCTTTTTCCTTGCTTTAGGGATTTCAATCCTCTTGTTGATTATACGCCTCCATATTCCCAAATTAATTATTAGAATATTGTCGTGAGGGTCAAGAGAAAAGAAGTAAAAGGGTAAAAATCAATGGTTTGTGTTTTAGAGGGTTGATTTTTATTGATAAAAGGATTTGTAAGAATGGCTGGTTGAGGTTAAGCTTGGGTATTTAGGCTTTATCTAAGCAAACATTTTTCCCCTTTTTTTTTTTGTATTTGCGCTCTTTGGTTTCATTTCCATTGTTTTTAAATGGCTAGCTGATTTCCCTAGATCGCCCTTTGGGTTTTCGAACTAGGATACTGTGTTTGGCCCTAACTTTTGTCTAGGTTCCTTCCTTTGTAAAATTTTGGAGAAATCCTAGCGGACCTTATTTGTAACCCTAACTTTTGCCTAGGCTACCCTTTATTGTCGTTCGGGTGTCCTACCGGGTCGACCCTATCTTTTGTGTAGCCCCCTTAGTGGGTTTCCTACCGGGTAATTTGCCCTTTTCTTTGGCCTTTGGCTCCTCTGGGCTTTTTCTTTTTTGTGGATTTATTTTTTTTGTTCACAGTATTGGCGAAGCATGACTTTCTTTATGGCTTTAGGTGAAGTCTTATTTTTATGTGCTTCTAATCAACTAGTTTGATAATGGTAGTAATGGTAAATGTTGATTATTTGGAAGCACTTTTTATTCTTCTTTCTTTTTTGTTGTTTTTTGTTGTTTACTTAGACAGGGTTATTTATGTGGTCCAGTCAGAAGTAGAAAGAAGAGAAGCAGATAGAAAGAATCATTCTTTATTAATTAATAAGGGAATATGTGCCCTAAGATGCCCGGGGGTCGGGCTCGCCCCGGGGGATAATCTCTAACAATCATGGGGTTTACATCCCTTAAGCAAAGAAAAAGATTTCCTAATGACTAGAGTGGCTCTTGACGCTTGCACCCCTCCACTTCGGAAAATTTGCTTGAGTGTGCGGAGGGGAGACTTCCCTTTTCTCCTTTCTGTGCGGCCCTTAGTCGGGTCATATCCTAGGCCATACTTGTAAGAATTGTCTTTGAATTCTGGGGGTTCCCTCATGCCCTGGGAATCTGCCCCAGTCCTTGGCCAGGATGGTAACCATGCTTCAACATCATGCGGGCTATCTTTGTGTTTCTGGGAAGTCGCTCTATACTGGCAATTTCGAGCGCTTGAAAAGATGTTTCAAGGGCCTCTTCAGCCACATCCACATAAGGTTGGGTGGACGGTCCACTGATCAGGATGTCGTC